ATAAGTTCAATTTGCTTATAAACCATCAAATCTTGTTAGGCATTACCTTATATACTGGACCGAAACGACCCTGTCCCAGATTACTAGTTGGTGTTGAGGAAATTTATGGTGAAAAGGAAGGGACTTGGAGGAGAAGGGATACACACGAGAGTTCCCTCTTTGTTGAGGTGAAAACTCCAGTTTTTCATTTATTGTTCTGCAATTATATAGCGGAGAATTCAGTTCATAAACAGTACCTAATACTTATCCATTAAGAGAAAAATCTGCAAAACATTTAATGCAAGATTACATTAAAAGTCTTGCTTCCATTTGTGTGGCTCCATGTGGCTGTTCTTGCTGCTACTTTGCAGCTTTCCATTTGCTTTCATTTGCATTACATTTCAACCTCATTTCACCAACATTTCATCAACATTTTGCAGCATAGGTTGCTGCACTTTTCTGCTACCGTGCTTTGGTGCAGCTCTCCCTTCTTCCATTTTGCTGCCACTTGTGCAGCTTTCTTTCCATTTGCTGCTACCTGTGCAGCCTTCTTTCCATTTGCTGCCTCTTGCGCAGCTTTGACACCGCAGCTCCAACAGTTGGATAAAAGTTGTTTGTTGCGGTTACCAGTTTCTGGAACTCAAATTGTTGAAGTTGATGGAGTTTGGCTATGTCTTCATTTTCAACAACCACGCTCTGGCACAATAGTTGTGACTATGGTCCTTCTTTAATAAAAGGACCAGTTCTCTTCTTCCACATCGATCTGCAACCTAGCAACAATAGGTAAAACATTCTATTTGTAACAGCAAATTTCTCAGAGTCAGCTATACTAATAATTGTAGGATAGAGAGTTGCAGACTTTACCTGTATATTCAGCAATTCTATTAGCCAACAATAATGCATAGAAAGAGCCACTAGTAATTGTTACCACAATTGATATGATTAAGAGGATTAGATTTATATTTCTCCTTCCTCCTATAAATCAAAACATGTTTTCAATTGGTCCACACTGAAGAAACTAGGGGTGCAATGTCTACATCTTATGTGTCTGACAGTACATAAAGGGAGGAAATGGTTTCCTTTGGTATTTAACTTCACTGAAAAGGCAAAACCTGGGATTTTTCCAGTAAGAATCTTATTGGAAACATCAAGCACTCTTAGCTTAGGTGATGTAACGTTGTCAAGAAAACTGGAATTTCACCAGTCAAGTTGTTGTCATTCAAATACAGATACTGCAATGCAATTAGGTTAGCAAAAGCTAGAGGAATTGTCCCTCTAAAATGCTGGTTTCCGAAATCTATCGTCGTAATGTTATTTTTTGAGTCACATGTAACAAATTCCCGATTTTGACATGCATTGTTACCTCTCCAAGAATCAGACAGCTTCAATGGATACCCAAAAGCGCTTGCAATTTCAAGCAATGTTGTGACCTGTGGACCACAAGGTTGCCCTGAGTTTGTCGGCTAAAGTGGTTTTGTTACTAGCACATAGAAACACAGGTAAGGGGCTCTGCAATTTGTTATTGGATAAAAAAAAACTGTCTCCAACTTAGGTAGGGAAACCAAGGACTCTGGGACAATTCCAGTTAAGGTATTATTTTTAAGATTCAAGAGTTCCAATCCGTTGCAATTGGACAAATCCGCTAAAAGAACAGGGAAATTATTGTTCTGTAGTGTAACCTGGACCAAATTGACCGTGGTGGACAATGCACTGATGGTCCCTGAAAGCCCAGTTCTCTGACCATGAAGTTGCAGAACTTTAACCATGGATCTCCCTAGCGAATCTGGCAAATCCCCAGTTAAATCATTCCGATGTACCCTCAAACTCTGCAAATATGGTATGCTGTCCAAAACATTAGGAATAAATCCCACAATATTGGCCCTTTTATCATGTAGTATTTCAAGACTTTGTAAATTGGACAGTGCATCAGGGAGGCTCCATGGAGGCTGAAATGGATTGTCATAAGTACCCAATTTTGTATACTAGTAGGGAGACCTGAAAAGAACTCCGAGGGAATGCTGGAGAAATTGTTATCAGCTAAGCTGATATTTTTCAAGGATGTAAGGCAAGCTAGAGAATTAGGAAGAGAACCGGAAAAAGAGTTATTCGTGAGAATAAGGACTCGGCGATCAGAAAAAGGACAGAGTAGTTCAAAGGGAAATGAACCATTGAGTGACTTTGATTGCGGAAACAGCTTTTTCGTCTGATTGTTGCGGTCACAAACCACTCCTTCCCAACCATAGCGCAATAGGCAGCATTTGAAACACTGATGGACCGGTTGTGTGGCCTGGGATTAAGGGCATCCGCCAGCTTGGACATGGCCTGAGAGTCATCATCCGCCAAAATGAAGGCGGCCAAGAGGAGGAGGGAGAACTTCCATCTGATGATCATCAAGGTATCCATTAAATCTGTTTCCTTGGCAGGGAAATTGTATCATTCTTTTAGCCTCAATTAAGATGGACAAATCCGGACAGGGCATCATTCAATTTGTCTGTGTAATTCTTGTCTCAGTACACTTAGCATCACACTAACTTGGCATCATTTTGCAGTCTACCACCATAATGATTCATTTTAGGAAATTACGGCCATACATCTGAGGAAAGCCTGTTCGTATCATCCTATGTCAATGGGGATAATGTTCATTATTCATTCCAAATGTTTGCTAATTCCTAGCCTATTCTGTATAGCTTATATACATGTTTTGTTTTTGAAAGATAATAGTGGAGTATATCTATATTTTTTTATTTGGATGTCTTAATACCGGCATCATGTCTCAGTAACATCAACAATCCAGTAAGAATTCTAGTTTTATATCAACGAGCTAGTTTCTAGGACTTTAATTATTTGTGTTTAATTTTCTTGTGACTTTGTTTTTTCATTTTTAGTACTTGAAGTTTAGAAGTTGAACTCTAAATTTGTGATTAAGAATACATGTAACTTCATCAGATCACATTACTAATGGTTTTCTCATAACTTTGTTAATTAGAGTATGATATTGATCATGAGCAGGAACCATTAGGATTCTGGCATTTGTCATCCATGAATCTTCTGGGAAAGTAAAATTAGGAACAAAGCCATAGGATGCCAA